TGCCCCCGCCGCAGCCCCCCCACCACCAGCCAGCTGCACTTATTGTCCTGGATATCGGTGCCAACCTTCCCCGTCAGCTCCGGGTCCCCAAAGCAGTCCAGGTAATCATCCTGCGCACAGATGGAAACACGTGAGCGCCGTAACCAGCGCTGGACAAGCCCAGGAGGGGCAGTGAGCCGCCTCTTACCTGGATCTGAAAGAATTCACCCATCTCCAGCAAGATGGCTTTGGCATTGTCATGCTCCTCCTTACTGTCGATACCAGTCTAAGAGGCAAGGGGAAAAAAACATAAAAAACAAATAAAGCTTTCCAGCGCCTGCCTTCCAGCCTTACATCTCCCACCTCCCAACCCCCTGCCCCCCTCAACAGCCTCACATCAAGGGTCAGGCCCCCTCTCAGACCGTTTCCGTAAAGCTCACCATGTACATGGCAGCGGCCACGGGCAGGTAGAAGGAGTAGAACGCCGTCTTGTACTTAACGATTGTCTTATACCTGCGGCAGAGGAACCACGCTCAGCGACAAAGCCCAGGCCTTCCCCTCCCGGGGAAGAAAAGCAGCATCTCCCTCCAAACCAGCACCAAGCTCCGATGGCGCAAGCGAGACTCGCTCCCTTCTGCCTCTTTACCTCTGCTCGCTGAAGCGACTCAAATCCACCTGGGAAACGGGAGCCGTGATGAGGTCCAACCAGTTAGTTAGCCAGTCTGAAGGGGAAAGAAAGGATTTATTCATCCATTCCCTACCCCAGGGAGAAGTCCCAACAGCGCAATGAAAACTCCCAACCCAAGTCCCGTTTTGGCTCCTCTCCCAGCCTGGAAGAAGGGTGTGTGCCTGGCAGGGCGGGCGGGAACTTAAGGAACAGTCTGAAACTCACCCGCTGCGAAACGTGAAGCAAGAGCCCAGACCCTGAGGCAAACCTGTGGGAGGGAGACGCGGGGGCCAGGCTCACCTGCAGGAAAAGCTCCAGCAGGTTCACGTAGTAGGGCTGCTCCCTGCAGTACTTCTTCAGCAGCCTGTAGACAGAAGACTCCAGGAGAAAAGCATC